GTGGGTGGTGAGGTGTCATGGTGAGTGGGGTGGTGAGTGTGTCCTGGTGAGTGGGGTGGTGAGTGTGTCCTGGTGAGTGAGGTGGTGAGTGTGTCCTGGTGAGTGGGGTGGTGAGTGTGTCCTGGTGAGTGGGGTGGTGTTTGTGTCCTGGTGAGTGGGGTGGTGAGTGTGTCCTGGTGAGTGGGGTGGTGAGTGTGTCATGGTGAGTGGGGTGGTGAGTGTGTCCTGGTGAGTGGGGTGGGTTTGTGTCCTGGGAGTGGGGTGGTGTTTGTGTCCTGGTGAGTGGGGGTTGGTGAGTTGTGTCCTGGGGTGATGGGGTGGGTGGTGTGGTCCTGGTGAGTGGGGTGGTGAGTGTGTTCCTGGTGAGTTGGGGGTGGTGAGTTTGTCCTGGTTGAGTAGGGGTGGTGAGTTGTGTCCTGGTGAGCGGGGTGAGTGTTGGTGTCCTGGTGAGTGGAGTGGTGAGTTGTGTCATGGTTGAGTGTGGGTGGTGTTGTGTCCTGGTGAGTGGGGTTGGTGTGTGTGTCCTGGTGAGTGGGTGGGTGATGTGAATCCTGTTGAGTGGGAGTGGTGTGTGTGTCCTAGGTGAGTGGCGTTGGTGTTTGTGTCCTCCTGGTGAGTGGGGTGGTTAGTTGTGTCCGTGGTGAGTGAGGTGGTGAGTGTGTCATGGTGAGTGGGGGGGGAGTGTGTCCTGTTGAGTGGGGTGGTGTTCTTGTGTCCTGGTGAGCGGGGTGGTTGTTTGTGTCCTGGATGAGTGGGGTGGTGGTTTGGTGTCCTGGTGAGTTGGGTGGTGAGTTGTGTCATGGTGAGATGGGGTGGTGAGTGTGTCCTGGTGAGTGGGGTGGTGAGTGTGTGTCCTGGTGAGTAGGGGTGGTGTTGTGTCCGGGTAGTGGGGTGGTGAGTGTGTCCTGGTGAGTGGGGTGGTGAGTGTGTCCTGGTGAGTGGGGTGGTGTTTGTGTCCTGGTGAGTGGGGTGGTGAGTGTGTCCTGGTGAGTGGGGTGGTGTTGTGTCCTGGTGAGTGGGGTGGTGAGTGTGTCCTGGTGAGTGGGGTGGTGAGTGTGTCTGGTGAGTGGGGTGGTGTTTGTGTCCTGGTGAGTGGGGTGGTGAGTGTGTCCTGGTGAGTGGAGTGGTGTTTGTGTCCTGGTGAGTGGGGTGGTGAGTGTGTCCTGGTGAGTGGGGTGGTGAGTGTGTCCTGGTGAGTGGGGTGGTGTGAGTGTGTCCTGGTGAGTGGGGTGGTGAGTGTGTCCTGGTGAGTGGGGTGGTGTTTGTGTCCTGGTGAGTGGGGTGGTGTTTGTGTCCTGGTGAGTGGGGTGGTGAGTGTGTCCTGGTGAGTGGGGTGGTGAGTGTGTCCTGGTGAGTGGGGTGGTGTTTGTGTCCTGGTGAGTGGGGTGGTGAGTGTGTCCTGGTGAGTGGGTGGTGAGTGTGTCCTGGTGAGTGGAGTGGTGTTTGTGTCCTGGTGAGTGGGGTGGTGTTTGTGTCCTGGTGAGTGGGGTGGTGAGTGTGTCCTGGTGAGTGGGGTGGTGAGTGTGTCCTGGTGAGTGGGGTGGTGTGTGTGTCCTGGTGAGTGGGGTGGTGTGTGTGTCCTGGTGAGTGGGGTGGTGTGTGTGTCCTGGCGAGTGCGGTGGTGAGTCTGTCCTGGCGAGTGGGGTGGTGTCTGTGTCCTGGTGAGTGGAGTGGTGTTTGTGTCCTGGTGAGTGGGGTGGTGTTTGTGTCCTGGTGAGTGGGGTGGTGAGTGTGTCCTGGTGAGTGGGGTGGTGAGTGTGTCCTGGTGAGTGGGGTGGTGAGTGTGTCATGGTGAGTGGGGTGGTGAGTGTGTCCTGGTGAGTGGGGTGGTGAGTGTGTCCTGGTGAGTGGGGTGGTGAGTGTGTCATGGTGAGTGGGGTGGTGTCTGTGTCCTGGTGAGCGAGGTGGTGTTTGTGTCCTGGTGAGTGGGGTGGTGAGTGTGTCCTGGTGAGTGGGGTGGTGTGTGTCCTGGTGAGTGGGGTGGTGTCTGTGTCCTGGTGAGTGGGGTGGTGAGTGTGTCCTGTGAGTGGGGTGGTGTTTGTGTCCTGGTGAGTGGGGTGGTGAGT